TGCTGATTTCGGTGTCGTGCGGGCGTGTTTTCGGTGGGGGTGTGTGGACGCTAACTCGTAGCTCTTCCGATCGCGGGGAGGGAGGGGGGGGGGCAGGGGAAGACATTTCGCTCTGACTCTCTAATACCCATGTTCCCTTTATCTGTCTGACAGTGGTCGATCACCGAACAATTCTGGAAATTGTCCATTTTTACATGTGTAGATATGTACATTAAGGCATTGTTTAAAGTAAACTATGAGAGCTTCCCTTAAATTTAGCAAACTAGTCTCATGGAATTCTGGCAAAGGGTTCTGTGAAGTTTGGACAGATGGGGTTGGGGTGTGTATGAGACAGATAGCCTAAGGGTTATGGATTAACCTTAAAGTCAGAATACTTCTAGAATTAGAAAGGAACACTGCTCCAATTTTTTAAAATAGCTATAGTTACTGAATAAAGTAATCTTTTTTAAATTTTGCTAGTGCATTCCAAAACATAAATAATGTTAGTCTTTCTTTTCTCTCCTCCAAAGCATTTCCCTGCCAGATTAGAAAAATAAACCACACATTAAAAGCATAAATTGATACTTAAATCACAACCCTTGTTTTTTTACATTTAAAAACTATGGCAGATTTTTTAAAATTACTGTTGCTTTTTTAAAAATTATATTTTTTTAAAAAAAAAACCTCAGCTGGCTGCAAAAGAAATAACAGAACAACTCAGTTTATGTAAATTCACAGTTCAGAAGATAATTTCCTTTTTTAAACAGTATGTTTCTTGAGATCTTAGTTTGAAGCCAAGTTGTATGGCTTCAAGAGACATTTTCAAAACAGTTCCTATGTGTTGTAAACAAGAATGTTATTTATATTTTTGTACGCGATATACATTTTAAAAAGTCAATCATTATTCTATTAAAGGATTGTACTCACTTCAAGTTTCTCAAATGTTTAGAAATATATATATAGTGAATGTGGACTACAATATCATCCTTTAGTAAAAGAAGGGACTGGAAAGAAAGAATCCCTACATCATTAGACTAAGTGTCCTTGAACATCAGCCAGGAAGAAAGTTCTTAACAAGATGGTGGAAATTCAAAAACAAAACAGGACGTTTTCTGTGCCAAAAGATAATGAGTAGTAACCTCCAATCCAAAGTGATAAATAATTAGATAAATGTTTCTAGGAATATCCTGGAAATGGAAAGTTTATTTTTTCCTGAAGTGGAATTTGGACTAGAAAGCTAATTAAAAAGAATAAATACATAAATGGAGGGAGTAAAATAATGTAAATTGTCAGGTCAGGGTATGGGGACATCGACTCAATTTATTGGCACATCTGACTCAATTTATTTAGAGATTGACGTCCCTTGGAACCAAATTTAGGGGTAAGACTTAAGCCTGGAAAAAAAACAGGGCTTAATTCCTGTTCATTCTAGAAGCCACTATATCAAGAGGATGGAAAATATCCAAGTAGCAGGGATGGGAAGAAACATTCTGTACATCAACAAAATCTTCAGTCATATACCATCTACCTTTGAGCTGCTATTGAATTTTTCCAGGTGGCTTCCTGAACAATTTCTACCTCTTGTAGTAAGTTATTTATAGAGTACTTCAGTGTACCTGGTTGTTTGACATAGCAATGAAAACTAGCAAAACAACAGAGAAGTGCCCAGAGGCATGTTCAATCTAGATGGGCTGGGGAGGAAAGGGAAGTTTCCAGGAAAGATATAAACAAATGTAGTTAGCAAAAAAAAATAAAAAAATATTTCATTCCAGCAAGGAGAAATGACTTTGGTCAGAAATAAGTGACATATCAGATTTAAATTGCTTGGATCATCATTTGTCTGGATTGCTGTCTTCAAAACAAAATATATTAAAGATGTCCATGATCTCTTATGCAATCTTGAAAGAATACCACAGATATGTAAGTCAGTTGAAAAGTCTTAAAGCAGAATAGCACTCAGGAACCAAAAGTAGAGAGAGGTTTTTGAACCTTGGCAACTTTAAGATGTGTGATCTTCAGCTCCCAGAACCCCCCAGCCTGCATGCTGACTGGTGGCAGCATGCAGCCTGGGGAATTCTGGGAGTTGCAAAACACTGAGCTTGAGACATTTTCCCTTCTCATTTGATACCTTTCAGACAGGTTTGCAATACTTATTATCCACAGCCGGTTAGGTCAATTTGTCCTGGTCCCCAGTCTGATCCTTCCCACCAAGATTGGAGTAGTTATTTTTATTTTCAGCATTATTAGTTTTACTGTTTTTCTTGCATTTTTGCACCAATTCTCTCATTAAGAGTCCTGAAAGCTTGCACATTATTTTGTCGTTGCTCAATTATTCATTAAAATATGAACACTCCTAGTAACCTTTCCCAACCTAGTATTCTCTGGTTGAATTGGACTGCAGCGTTCATCCTGATCAGAAAGCCTGGAAAAGCAATATCCCAGTTTCTAAAGGTCTTGAGGAGAAAAGCTAATGAGATTTCGTCCTGTGGCTGCTTGAGCATCAGTGATGCATTACTCAAGAGCTGCCTGTTTTGCCCCCAAAAGAACTGCCTTTCTCTTCCTTAGACCTATGTGCCACTGCTTCAGTCATGGCCCTGTGAAGTTTTGAAGTTATCAAATGGACTCCAGGAACAAATAGTTCAGGAGAAGCAGACTATTTTCACCTGGAAATGGGGTGAAGGGGAGAAAAGCAGAGAAAGGAAACTGGTGCTGATTCTTTGGGGGGGGGGAATCTAGTGGGGTTGAGGAAGAAGATAAATATTCATCGAAATAAGTTTTTGAATTATATGCAAGGTATTTCCGGGTCCAACTATAGTTTATTCAAATTAAGATCTGTCTCTCTAATTGTACTATCTAAAGGTGTCATAACACAGTGGGTTATAATTTATTTCATTGCAAAAGCAATTGTTTTCATTTTCTAAAAGGTAATCTTTCTGAACAAAGTGTTCCTGTATTATTTTTCTCTTAGCTTAGATTACATTAGAAGCTGCCAGTAGGGAATGCAGAGAAGAGAGATCTGCCGTCCCATTAGACTCCTTGTAACTGTGGAGTAATTGAAATGCTTGCCTCAACTCAGATAGGTCTAAGAATGTGCTGCAAACGAAACGGCAGGCGATGCAGATTTTACACTGAGTAAATGCAAAAATATATATATTGTATTGACACTTGTTGGAGTGCCCTCAAATTTTCGATCCATATTCGATTCACATTCTCCAGGACGAATTGGGAACTCTTTCATCCTATGGAGGAGAGGCCAAGACTGGCTCAACCCTCTTTGTGCACAATGGAACAAGGAAGTCTCATCTAAACATGCGACCTCAGATTAGGATAACTTCTAATTTAGAAAAGGGCAATTCATATATGTATGTATGTATGTATGTATGTATGCATGCATGTATGTATGTATGTCCTAATCTGCATGTCAACTCAACCCCCTCCCCCAAATAAACAAAGGAAAGGGCAACATTCTTTGTTAGTAACATATACTAATACAGATTTGTTCCATTCCTATACCTCCATTCCCCCCCCCCCGTTTCCCTCCTAAAGGTTTGAAAACAGCACATATCTGTTCACATTCCTTCAGCCCCTTCCTTCCAGATGTGCTGCACTATAACTCTCATGACTTCTGAGGCGGTGGACCTGTTGTCTCGGACAGCGGGAGTTGTAGCCCAATCTTTTGGTGGCTTGAGGAGAGGACTGTTCTGGACTAGTGTTTAAGGGTGACCCTACTAATGTCGGAAACCTATCATCTGGATAAAATAACGGAGATTGCACACACACCGCGAATTGGGTGGTGGTGGTGGGTTTAGCCGCCCCGGGCTTGCTTCCCGCCCCTTCGCCCAAGCTAACCAGCCTCCCCTTACCCGTCTCCTCCAGCCTCGTCCCGTGGCCCAAGGCGCTCGAGGTCTGCTGGTAAGGTGAGTAGGAGGTGCCATGGTGGTGGTGGTAGAAGGCGTGAGGGCTGCTACCGGCCGCCCCGGGGTAAGGGGGATATGCCAGGGGTCTGCTGCCGTAGGAGGCGGCAGAAGGAGGAAAGACGCCGCCGTCGTGCGGAGACTGCTGCTGCGGCGGCAGCGGGTGCAAGGCTTGGAGTGAGTAAGGGGCCGCCAAGGTGGTCGGATGTTGCTGCGGCTGCGAGGGCTGAGGTTGCTGGTGAGGAGAAGACGGGGGTCCCAGCCCGAAGTCCAGAAAAGCCGCTTTAGACGGGTCCGGCGGTCCCAGTAGGCCCTCGGCCAGAGAATTCATCGTCATCATCAAAAGATCTGCGGGACTTTCCGCGGCGGGACAAGGAGAAAGCCCAGGCGCCGCCGCCGCCGCATCCACGGCTCCGGCCACTACCGCGTTTCGGGAGATCGGCGGCGGCGACCACAATCTATGTTGCCGCGGCCAGAGAGCTTCATGCTCAGGCAGCGCCGCCTCCTTAGCCGTATCAAGCCAAAGGGAAACTCCGACGTCTATACTGCCACCTGCAGCGGCTGCAGTTCCGCCGCCTCCTCGGGCCCTTCAGTCACTCGCGTCCAAGCAACGGCGCCCACTCCTCGCCTTCTCCCCCAAGCTCCCCCCGAGCGCCCTCTTTTCTCCCCGCCTGGTGCCACAAGAGAGGAGGAAAACCACCGAGGGGACGTTTCTCCCCCACCCCTCCCGCCTCGCCCCCTTCTCCTTTCATTCCCCGAGCCCGCCCCTTGCCGCCTCCAATTGGCCCGCCCGCGGCATGATGTCACGGAGCCCCTGGGGACCTCCCTTCCAAAGCTTCAGCCTCGCCAGCCAGGCGAAAAATCCGCCGCTTTCCCTCTGAAGGTCCGCCCACTAAGCCGGCTAAGCAACTCCCTCAGCCGCCCCCCACCCCAGGGGGGAAGACGGAGGGAGAATAAGAGGATAGATTGGATGGAGCGCAGCAGGTCCGGGCACGTCTATTTTTCTCACCTATATTAGAAGGAAAGGAGAGGAGGAAGTCCAACTCCAAATGTTTGTCAACCCTTGGACTAGGCAGAGGACTATCTAAAATTCAGGGAAAAACGATACAGTAGTTAATTAATACCGATGGGGGAGGCGGAGGAAGCGAGTGTCTAAATATGAAACGACTTTATCAACAGGTCTAGACAAGTTCTCTCCTCTCTCCTGGCCAATTCCCTCTAGAAATTTGAAAAGGAATCTAGATGGAATATTTGTCAACACATTTGAGATAGGATAGGATGCGGTTCTTGTTTTTTTTCCTCCTAAGAGTCACATGTGATGCATTAAAATAATTCAAGAAAAAGGGGAAGGAGTTGAAGTTATCCAGTTCTTTTATCAACTACTTCTCCAGACTGGGACCTCATCATGGCCACGAAAAGATTATTTCATCTGAATCTCTATAGTACTGTTCATGGTCACTGTGTTTTTATTTATTTATTTATTTGATTTTTTTTTGTCAATCACTTACAAGATAATAGGTATAAGAATAAACATAGTTATGAATACATGAAATGGATACATATAAGAAAAATAAAAGAAACAATAGGACAGGGATGGTAGGCACATTGGTGCACTTATGCACACCCCCTGCAGACCTCTTAGGAAAGGGGTGAGGTCAATAGTAGACAGTCTAAGGTTAAAGTTTTGGGGGTTTGTGGAAGAAACCACAGAGTCAGGTAGAGTATTCCAGACATTGACCACTCTGTTGCTGAAGTCGTATTTCCTGCAATCAAGTTTGGTGCAGTTAACCTTGAGTTTGTATCTATTGTGTGCTCTTGTGTTGTTATGGTTGAAGCTGAAGTATTCATTGACAGGTAGGACATTGCAATGTATGATTTTATATACCATACTTAGATCAGACCGAAGACGGCGTAATTCAAGGTTTTCTAGTTCTAGAATTTCAAGTCTGGTGGCATAAGGTATTCTACAATGAGTAGAGAGTGGAGAACTCTTCTTGTGAAATATTTCTGGACTTTCTCAACTGTGTTAATATCAGATATGTAATGCGGGTTCCAGACTGATGAGCTGTATTCAAGTATTGGTCTAGCAAATGTTTTGTATGCTCTAGTTCAGGGGTTCCCAACCTGGGGTGCTCGCATCCCCTGGGGGTGCGAGACGATATTCCAGGTGGTGCGAGAAAAGTCCAGGTAATTTTTATTTTTATTTATTTATTTATTATGCAATGGATTAACTTTGTTTTCATTTTAGAGTTAAGTATCGTTATTTAGTGGCCGTCACATACATAGCTGAAAAGATTCAATCCTACCATATATTTAATGCGTTCAGTAGTTCCTAAAGTCTAAATTTCAGGGGGTGCGAGGTTCGAGTGAAATTTCTTTAGGGGTGCGGGGTGAAAAAAAGGTTGGGAACCACTGCTCTAGTTAGTAGTGTGATATTACCAGAGAAAAAGCTACGTAGGATTAGGTGAACAACTCTTAATGCCTTTTTGGCTATGTAGTTATAGTGGGCTCTAGCACTGAGATCATTTGAGATGAGAATTCCAAGGTCCTTGACAGAGTTTGGATCATCAACAAGGTCTTGACTATTCAGCTTGTATTTTATTTTCTGATTTTGTTTTGCCAATATGTAAGACAGAGCATTTATTTGTGATTTGAAGTTGCCATTTGTTTGACCATTCTGATACATAGTCGAGGTCTTTTTGAAGGGTAGCAGTATTGTCTGTGGTGTTGAATAGCTTTACATTATCAGCGAAGAGAACGCAGTTGCTCTTGATATGATCACAGAGGTCATTTATGTAGAGTATGAAAAGAGTTGGTCCTAGAACACTGCCTTGGGGAACACCACTGTTGACAGATACAGAATTTGAAAGGATGCTCCCAATTTTGACCATGTTGTATGTGTGGTCTGTTCCTCTTCCTCCTCCTCCTCCTCTTCTTCCTCCCTCAATGTATGGCATTGACTCTACTTGTTGGATTGCTGGAAGAGGCCCAACAAATTAAGGGTTGCATCAAAGCAAAATTCTGCATGATAAACCAAAAACTCTGGATAGGGTTTCCACAGCTACACAAACTTTGTCCCAGGTAGTGAAGGAATGTGCACGTGGCATTAAAACGTCTACCGTATTGTCCCAGAATTCTTGGAAAACAGGTGAAGTATGGGTAATAAATCCACCTTCAAAAAAGAGGAGAAGTCTAGTATGCTAATGAGCTATCAACTTGAGAGTTATAATAAAGATCATTATAGTCTGCGAGCATCAGAGAAAGAATGCTGTGGCTACAGAAAATTTTTGGTGAGAATAGAGACATGACAATTGTGTTAAAGAATTAAATCAAAAACAGTAGATCAGGGGGACGCTGTGGATGTTGTATATATTATTTTCAACAAGATCACCAATGAGTTTCTCATTAGCAAGCTGTAAAACAGTACCACTTCCCACATGAATTTGTAGCCTACCTGCCAAGAGAAAAGAGGCCATGTGTGTGTGTACGTGTGTGTGTGTGAGAGAGAGAGAGAGAGAGAGAGAGAGAGGGAGGGAGGGAGGGAGGGAGGGAGGGAGGGAAACCATATCCAATCATTTTATGGACTGACTTCTATCCTCAGAATTCCAAATGTATTCACTGGCCTAAATTACAAGGAAAAATATTTTCCTAATGGTGAAAGTTGATTGTCAGATGTACAAGTTTCCATGTGGACTGGTGGACTGTTCTTCATTATACAGTACAGGTTTATGCAGTATCTGGATGACCACCTATCAAGGTTACTGCAGTCATTAATCTTTCACATGAATACATGAATTGAACCACATGGATTTTGACATGTAGTTCTCTACCAATATCATTATCAATTTCACTAACCATCATCGATCTCATTTAGAAAAGAATACTAGGCAGACCTTATTCCAATTGTTTTAAATATCTTTCCCAAATCGAAACATAATCCAGAATTTGTAGCCTTACTTTTGAATCTCTAACATTAGCCTGGCATATAGAAATTTAGCATTAAATTTGAAATTGATAATGGTGTTGGTAGAGAACCACATTTCAAAATTGGTAATGAAATACTTGGTAATGAAATACTTTTTCTACAAAACACTTCACTTCATAAATTTTTGCATATTGGTTATTGAAGAACATGGACAGAAACCTAAAAACTTTAATCTGATTCTGGTACATAAAGATTTCTCTGCAATGTCTTTGATTATTTTTTTTAAAAAAGCATATAGTATTACGTGCAATGCAGACTGTAGCTGTAATATGTTTTCTGTCCCATGGATAGAAGAAGAATCAGAATGAATTAAATTGTGGCAAACTGATATATTTTGAAAGTATCAGACTGCCCATCTCCAACATTCATTGTAAGCACAATCTTCTCTCTGCAATAGCAAAGGAAGCCTCCAAAATACAGGTTTGGTTCCCAGCCACTGTGCTGTCAGACACATTATTTTAAATAAAAATGCAATCATTCTCATCTGAAACAGCTGTCTGACAGTTTTGGCTGCAGAGCATTAAATGAATCCTACATGTAAAAGAAAGATAGTAAGGAGATCATACAAAGACAGCTGCTCAAAGCGTACCTGTTATTATTCATATCACTGAGTCAAAGCCAAAATCAACAATGGGATAGGAAGAGATTATAATTGTCTTAGTTGTTTAAATGAACTCCAAAGGAAGTTTGTTTAGTTCTGATGAACTTTATCCTCTCAGTCTTATTCGTATATCTTTTCATTGATCAAACGTTTAGTCTTTGGGTTGGTTAGCTTGCAAGCTTAAATAATATAATAAACATATGTCTGAATTCAAGATTATTTATACAACTGTCTTCTGAATCCCAGATAGGTCTGTGCTTAAAGGTGCTGAAATTGCTTTCATGCTGCTGCTCCTCCTGCTGTTTGTTCAAATGTGTACCAGGTTTTGAAACAAGTCCTGAGATTTAGTAGTGGTTTGAATAGTCTTGATTAATCCACCTACTCTTCAAGTGATGGAATGATGCTACTTGGCTTCTTTTGGTATCATCTCAGATCCATTTATGAGATTTCTTGGAAAATACTTGACACAAATAGTTTACTAAGGTGTACTATAAAAACATTAAAATATTGTTCCCTGGGAGTAAACTATGGTTTCACATGTTTGTATCCATTTGAATTATATGATCTTTATCTGGGGTCTTCTTGAAAATTCAAGCTGATCCAGCCCCATGAAAGGCACTCAGAATAAATGGGGTTCCAGGTCTAGATTAGAAACTACAATCCATAGCACACTGTTAGCAAGGACAACCAAGAACACTAAATTGCTGATATGGAGACCATATAAGTTTGTTATCTCATGGAAGGA